TGTTTGAGCATTCATTCTTCTCCCTCTCTCTTGTCATCTATAGAGAAGTTTCCTTAAACTCAATTCTAGCATTTTATAAGTTTGTTCTTAATTTCATAAGCTAGATTTCATATTGAGTTTATATTGTTTTATCTCTTTGTTCACACACAACCTATTGAGCTTATTGTATTTACATTCATAGTATAATTTAGGGTTGTGAGTTTGTGACATTGAGAGTGAGCTTAATTGAGTTCTCACCTTGTTAGAGAGAACAATTATTTGTTATATTGTGCTTAATTATGATGATTCACTTGTAATACACTTGTACACCGAGAGAAGTGTGTGGTGAGAGACGGGGTCAAATCCAAGAGGAGTGGCGTCGGTTGACGTGCCTAGAGAGAGGTTATAACCGAACACTTGAGGAGGAGGACACGGGCTAGGACCAACACTTAGTGTGTGAGGTGTGATTGCATAGTGAGTGTATTGTGAGGTGTAAGCGTTGTTCGGGTGAACGTAGAAAACCCGGTTGAGATAGTGGAGATCTCCTCGAGGTGAGGAGCGGAGACGTAGGTCGTGGGGACCGAACTCCGTAATCATATTGGTTGTTTGTGATTGCATTGGCGCACTTACTTTTATGTTCATATCTTATATCGCCTTTGTATATTACTTGTTGATTATATTGCCCACTATCTAGTTTAGATTGTTTACCCTTGAGTTTATATATTCTTGCACATACATTGCCTATATCTCTTTGTTAGGATATATCTTGTTGTTCATATTGCTTATCCTAGCTCATATACATTGTTGTATTTCATACTTACTAGGATAACTTGTTAATAAGTTTTAATTGGCATTAAATCGGATTAGATTAGCATAAGACCCTAAGCACCCTCCCTCTAGGGTCTAACAAATATAATGCACATTCTCAATGCATAAAACTTATAATTTCCAAAAAGATATATTTATTGGCTTTTTTTTTGCTATACACTTTTTTGCTAAAAGGAACTTATAATTTTAATTTATATTCCTTTTAGAATCTCAAATATATATAATAGATATTTAACTATATGAGCCATTATTGTTCATGAAGTATGATATGGTTATGATATGGAACATTCTAGACAATTAAAAAAGAGAAAGAAAAGAAAGATAAAATGTTGTATGCCATATGGAATATTTTAAAAACCTAAAGAAAGATAAAGAGGGATAAAAAATAAAAGATGCCTCTTGTTAAATTACCTTTTTCCATCTAAATATAATAAATAAGAATATGTCCCACCACTCATTCAAATTTTAGATTACCCCCACTTAGTTTTTTTTATATACAAGTATAGACTAGCATAGGCTAGTATAAACAAGTATAGATACCTTAAATGATCCAGCAATTATCTATTGAATTTGAATATCACAAAATATTCACAATCTGTCTCTATGTGATTCACCACCAGGGAGGCAAGGACATCAACAAATGCCAGCTAAATGATTCTGATACATTGCTCAGCTCAACATTTGTATCCTTATTTTAAAAAAGAGACCCTCAATCAGCCAAATAATCACAACAAATCAACTATACAATCCAATTCAATTTGCAATAAAACAATACACCCACCATCCACCAACGACAAACCAAGTAACGACAATGTGGTAATTTTCGGAAAAAACCCGCAAAACTTTGAGACTATTGGCACCAAGCTTCTCTAAACTTTTTAATTTCACTAAAACCCTGGACTTTGGGGCTTCTGGAAAACACCCCCAAACTGATAAATTTTAGGGAACTCCGGGAAAGTGTTAATGGATCAAAATCTGTACAATAAAACTAATGATCGGTGACGTCTTTAACGCCACTGGGGGCTCGTCGGGTAAATTTGGTGGGGGGTTCTGTGGGACACCGCAGAGTTCAGAGGGTTTAGTGAAATAAAAATAAGCTCAGGAAAGTTCGTGAGAAACGCCCCAAAGTTCAGAGGAATTGGCCAAAAATTACCGCCTAATTAAAACGTGGGAAAGGTCTCGACACGCCTACTAATGTACACGTGGCAATCATCCTTCGGCGTGATTGTAGGCACGTAAACAATATCATCACATCCGTCCGTTCTCAGCCTCCTAAAATCCACCAGCGACACGAACAGGGCGATGAACAGAACGAGGTGATTGATCGCGTACCTCTGGCCCACACACTGGTGGGGCCCGGCTCCGAACGCCAAGAAGTTCCTCCTGAACACCCGGTCCTCCTGCTTCTCCTCGCCGAACCGATCCGGATCGAACCTCCCCGGTTCGCTAAACCCCTGGAAGGACGATTCGAAGACAGACGGAAAGACGATCGTGCCCTTGGGAATCGTGTACCAGTCGGTCAGCGGGAAGTTCTCCGCGGCGATTGTGAGGCACCATCGTCCGCCGCGGCCGGAACGCTCACCACCTCCCGCGCGACCTGCTCCGTGTCTTCATCCTCCGTATCTGCTGGCGGCGGTGATCGGACGTCCGCTCTCGCGGTGACCAGATCGCAGGCGACCTCTTTTCCTCACTCGATCCAAGACGTCGGGTGGCGAATCGAGTAAGGTCACCGCCAGAGAAGCGACGACGTCGAGGCGTCCTGGGCGGCGAAGAGGAAGTCGAAGAGGTGACCTCCGATCTCGAGATCGCCGGTGCTCCGGAGGCGGCGGAGCGCCGCCTCTCCGCGGGCGGCGCGACCTCCCTCAGGGTTTCCTGCATCCAGAAGTCGACTAAACAGCTCGGCTTCTCTTCCGCCTCATTCTCCGCCTGTGCTCTCGACACGCAGGCTGATAAAGTCTCGTCGATCATGACCGGTCCACCGTAGGCCTCGCGTTTCCGGAAAAGGCGAACCCAGGCAGATCGAAAGGGATGGCCATCAAGCCGACATTGACAGATTGGTAGTCAAGGTTAAACCGGCTCTCGCGACGGACTCAGGTACGGCCCGCGGACGAGCATCGCTGCGAGGTCTCGGGGTTCATGTCCCGACAGAGCGGTCCTGAGCTGATGGGCTCGTCGGGGCCGACATCTCGACCCAGCGACCCAAATGAGCGACGATCACGTTCTGCTGGACGCGGAGGTAGGTGGAGGCGGCCTTGGGCGTGAAGTTGGGCGCGACATCCTTCGACGGAGGTCTTTATGGCCTGGTCGAAACATGTAGATCAGGTTGTGCTCGCCGAAGAGCTTCTTGGCGGAAGGGGTGGCGATGAGGTGGAAGGCGTCGGGGCGGACGTTGGCGAAGACTTTGTGGGAGAGGTCGGTGAGCGGACGAAGAGGATGAATTTGCCGGACGAGGAAGTTGGCGGAGAGGCGGCGGGCTTGGCGGAGTCGCCTGATCAGCCAGAACTTGGTTGGGTTTAGGAATCATGGGGACGACGGAGCCAAGGAAGGGGACGATCAAGTTGGGCCCGGGGAGTGGGCCCTTTTTGCGGAGGTAGGAGAGCTGCTGGAGGAGGATGAGGAGGAGGAGGAGGGAGGAGAGCAGGACTGAGATGAGGAACAAGACGTCCATTGTCTCTCTTTCTCTCTCTTTTTTCTTTTTTTCAATTTTCAATTTTCAATGGTTTGAGAGCAGGGAGAGGAGGGGTGTCAGGCTTTTCATACTCAGGCCGACGGTCGTAATAAACGAAGCGGGGAGTTAATTTGAAGGGGGGGGTTGTAACAAGGTTGAAATTCAAAGAGGGGGGGATAAAAGAGAGGGAGAGGGATTGGTCAAGATGGTTGACAATGAGAAGAGAAAGGAAAGTGTTAATTCAATTTTGGAACGCTTCGAGGGGGAGGGGAGAGTCAGGAAGAGGCGGATTCAAAGATTTTGTCTTTGGAATGCTGTGGAGGGGATTCGGATCCTCTCCACTACAAAAAAAAACAGTGGAGGGACCACTACATAATCACGGCCATTGATTATGTAGTTAATGATTGTAATTTTTTCTTTTAGTGCAAATTAGGAATGAGTGCAATACACGGAGGTATGGTAAGTGTTAGATTTAGATTGTATCATAACCGCCTACTAAATAATCAACGATTGAGATTAAAAGCAGTGGTCTCTCCACTACTTTTTTGTAGTGGAGAGGATCCAAATCCCTGTGGAGGAATGTTTTAATTCAATTTGGATTCTCCCTTTATCTAATTAGGTTAGATGATAGATCTTTTCATTACTTTAAAAAAAATTTATAGAAAATAACAATAATTTAAATATAAAGAAAGGGTGCGAGAGAGCAGTAATCCTTTGATAAATGTATTGATCCGAAAGTTCTTGAATTTTGCTAAGATAAAAAGATACACAATTAATTAATAAGATAACACTGGACAGTTCTCCCCCACCCCTTCCTTTCTTTAGTTTTAAGAAATTAATGTGACAAGTCAAAAACTAATGCCACTTTATTACAAATAGAAATAAGTTTGCCACCACATGTGCGAGAAGGGGGAGGAAAAAGAAAAGGGAAAAATGTTTCTAGGCCCCCAAAAAAGAAAGGGGATGTGACTAAGCCCCCTGTATTTTTTTTTTGTGTTCCAAAGCCGCCAATACATAAAGTAATGAAGTTTCAGCCCCTTTTTCATTTCCCAGACAGCACAGACAACAACTTATTTTGAAAATCCAAAATTGCCTTCTCTATCTTCTCTCTTCTCAGGCTGAAAGCGAGAGCGGAGAATCCCAACGGGCGGAGAATCCCAACGGGCGGCTTTGAAACAGGGAGCGGCGAGCGGTGGCGAGCCGGCGAATGGAGAGAGGTGACGACGTGTGACGATGAACAAGCGGAGGCAAGCTACGTCGAGCTGCGGCGAGCAGCGAGTGATGGCGAGCACGAGCGATAGCCTGAATTGAGCCCGCTGTAAAATTTTTAACCCTCTTGTTCTCTTATTCTCCATTTCCCCCTTTTCTAAACCTGGTCATTCCTTCTTGGGTAATTGTCAGATTTTAAAATCTGATCATTCCATTATTTTGAAATATGATCATTCCAATGCTTCATATTGATTCATTATGTAAATAATTATAAAATTAACATAATTAGATGCATATTCACAAATTATGAAGAGTTCTAGGGTGTCATGTACTTGATTCCATGGCCTGGACCACAACTGATATTTGTTGCTTTGACAGTTTGAGCACCATCGACGATTGATATGCAGTCATCACCTTCATTACAAATATATCAAGTAATAGTTAGAAAATTAACATATTTAGGGGCATGGTCATTTTTTGTCAAAATATTTACCTGTGCCAATGTTACAGTGGTCCAAATTTATGTTTTGAGTGCTTGTAATATGAATTCCGTCAGTGTTTGGGCTATTCTCCGGTGCTGTGATACTGAGGTAAGATGCTCTAAAATTCGTACATTTTTCAAACTGTTCATGGATCTGCTGGCTATTTTTCACCTTCAGGTTCTCAACCACCAAGTTATTTGATCCGTAAAAGGTTATCGCCTATTTAAACAAAAGGAAACAGGAAAATATAAGTTTTGAAGACAAATGGATACCACTTAATTGAACTCTATAACAAAGTACTTGTAGATGGACTTACAGTTGGAGCATTCTTGCAAGGCTAAAATTCACAAAAGGAAAATACAAGACATTTAGTCATTTACCTGGACTTACAGTTGGAGCATTCTTGCAAGGCTAAAATTCACAAAAGGAAAATACAAGACATTTAGTCATTTACCTGCACAATGTAATTGTATTTTAATAAAAAGGGAAATAAAATAAAATAAAAGGCTTACAAGATATTTATTAATTTTACAGGAATTCTTCCACCATATCTGTCCATTACCATTGATGATTCCTCCACCGGTAACCTGAAGATTGTTTACTCCATCAAATAGGATCCAATGCCTCCTGTTAGTTTCATCCCATGCTGATCTATGTGGGGGAGCCTTGATCATTCCCTTGATCTATACAAATTGGCAATATATATGGAAAATATCAGTAGAGCATAGTTTCATGAATGAACTTTTTTGAGTATGATGAAGGGTATCCTTTCCTATATAACATACCATTTACTGTGACTTTTGATTTGCATGGAGCAGAAAAGGTGGTCGGCTTTAAGAGATATCTTTTCTTTGCAGGTACAATGAGAGTAGCCGAAGAGGGTGATGGACATACTTTTGACCACGCCTTGTTAAACGCCTGGAAAAATATTCGAAGGCATAAGAAATTTATCTTGGTATTGTTGTGGACTTTGCCTCATTTGATAAGTAACTGGTATTGTTGTGGCGGTCGAGAAATTGAAATGGTAACAAACTTGTGTATTTTATCTGGGTGAAACTTATCGGATATTGTTCTGAGAACGATAAAAAAAACTTCTTGTCTATGAGTTCATGCCGAGAGGAAGCTTAGAGAATCATTTATTTAAGAGTATATTACTATTCTGCGATGCTTCATTCTTTGTGTTAACTATACATAAGCTCATAATATGTACCGCTTTTATTAGATTTTTGACAACCATTTTCATCTTTTGTAGCGCAACCAATAAGTTGGAATGCGCGAGTGAATATTGTTGTTGATGTTGCTAGAGGATTATCATTCCTACACAGTTGTAGAATGATGAGAATAGAAGCATCAAGCAAAGACATTAGATAAGGATGGAAGTTGTTCTAAAAATTGATTGATTGAATCAAAACTTATGTGCATGTCTGTATTGTGTATATTAATTTCGTTGTGTAAACAGTTGATGTGGATGACAAACAATGCAACAAGCTTGATCTTTATAGATCTAATTGTATTTCTGGTGTTTTTGTCACCATATGTTTACGTTTTGTTTTGATACAACATATATTTAACAGGTTCAAACGAAAAGCTACATGTTCACTTGAATGTTAAATAGGAAAAACTAATACTTAACATGTACATTTGACAAGTTAACATATTCAGTTACATGTTATCATGTTATAAAGAAAGCTAATATGTAACAGTGAAAGTTAACATATTATGCTAAAAGTTAACATATACAGCTGACAGTTAACATGTTCACATGAAAATTAATATATACACTTGAAAGTTAACATGTTCAGATAAAAGTTAACATATTATGCTGAAAGTTAACATATACATTTGGAAGTTAACATATACAGATGAGAGTTAACATACTCACGTGAAAATTCAGATATGAAGCCGTCCCCTGCGAGCACCAAGACATTTTGTAGGAAATACAAACAATATACCCCAACTAAACAAGTTCATTACACAAAGCTTCGTACATTCTTACAGCTAATATTGCTTGAGTGCACAATAGCATTTTTGTAGCAGCATATTATCATTTTCATAGTAGCATATTATCATTTTCTTACATCTTAGAATGTAAGTTAACATGTTCATGCTAAAGTCAACATCTTAGAATGAAAGTTAACATGTTCAACTAAGAGTTAACGTGTTCAAATTGTAGTTAACATATACATCTAAAAGTTAAGATGTACAAATTGTAGTTAACCTTTTTATTCAAAAATTAATATGTTTTATTAAAAGTTAAGATCTTCACTTAAAAGTTAGCTAAAGAATCTGAACGTCAATGTATACAGTTGAAACCCAAAATTTTCTTTTGAAAGTTAACATGTTTTCGCGTGAATTTGCTTTTTTGCACATACTTTATTACCATCAAATTGTGGTTTCTATTTACTTTATTAGTATCATATTTCTTGCTAATGGTGTATAATCTGTATAATACTGCATGAAGTTTTCAGATGGTATCCTAATTTTGACTTTATTCGGGAAGTTTTCACATGCTAATCAAGAGAAGCAAGAAGAACCAGCACACTGTTCAGTTTGAATCTTGAGAACCAATTTCTGAACAAAAACACAGTTGATTCAACTGAGAATAGTGAGCACGCTAATGGTAAGATTGAAGAAGAGTTCAACTTCCACAATCAAAGAGCATTATCAACTCGCAGCAAAGGCGAAATCCAAGAACCTGAAATGAATGAAGGAGGATGATGATGAGTATATTAATTTAGTTGTGTAAACAATTGATGTGGATGACAAACATTACAACAAGCTTGACCTTTATTGTTTTTATTGTATTTCTGGTATTTTTGCTACCATATATTTACGTTTTGTTTTGATACAACATATATTTAACAGGTTCAAATGAAAAGCTATATGTTTACTTGAATATCAACAGGAAAAGCTAATACTTAATATGTACATTTGACAAGTTAACATATTCAGTTGTATGTTATCATGTTATAAAGAAGATGACTGTAACAGTGAAAATTAACATATTATACTGAAAGTTAACATATTCAGCTGATAGTTAACATGCAGTGATGAAGTATAACATGTTCGTAAGAAAGTTAACATATGCAGATTAAAATTAACATATACAGCTGATAGTTAACATGTTCATAAGAAAATTAACATGTTCAGGTGAAAGTTAACATGATCAAATGAGAGTTAATATGTTAGTGTTAAAGTCAACATGTTAGATTGAAAGTCAAAATTATTCTGTTGTTTATACGTCTAGTTCTATTTCTTCCCTTCCTGTTAGTAGTAATTAGTAGCAATATTTAGATTCCATCTCTTGACACACTTTGCATATGAGAGTTAACATGCTCACGTGAAAGTTAACATGTTCAGGTTAAAGATAATATTTTTAGTTTAAATTTAATATATTCAGCTGAAAGTTAACATCTTCACTATAAAGTCTACAGAATTTGAAAGCCGGTAGTTCTAAGATTATAAGTCTAATCATATCGTGTATTCAAGCAATATCGGCTGTAGGAATGTAAGAATTTTATTATGGTGAACGTTAACATATTATGATGAAAATTAACATGTTCAGCTGAAAGTTAACATGTTATAAAGAAAGTTAACTTATTATGGTAAAAGTTAACATGTAATAGTGAATGTTAACATATTATGATGAAAGTTAACATGTTTAGCTGAAAGTTAGCATGTTACAAAGAAAGTTAACATATTATTATGAAAGTTAACATGTTACGAAGAAAGTTAACATATTATGAAGAAAGTTAAACATATGTAAATTATTCAAGCCCACAATTATGAGTCATTCTCCTACTCAGTTTCGAGTACAACCACATAAAATAGCTAACATATCATAAGTTCTCACAAGTTCAGACATGTTCTTTTATACAAATATCTTACAAAAACCACTCCAATCTCTATGCAAATCTACGCAATTTAGTATACATGCATTCTTTAGAAAGAATCTGAGCTTGATCTTCGCAACTGATACTTTGGTTCTGGTGGCGGCGCAGAATGTAATATCGTATCCAACTCCTGAAAAAAAAACAAATGAAAAAACCGAGTTACTTGGCCATTTCATCAAACACCTACAACCCCCATCTCCTCCTCCCCGTCCTCAACCACCCCCTCCTCAACCCCCATCTTCATTTAAAACTATCATCTTATCACTGAAACCATGCCTTTATACAACAAAAAGCCCCAAAACCCTCCACATTTTACCTTGTTGATAACTATCTACCTGCGGCTGAGATCCAGAGGCGTAGGAGATGAAGCCGGAGAGGAGGAAGACGGGCAGGGAGAGCAGACCGATCCGCTCGTGGAGGAGGACCAGTGACGTAGCCAGGAATTTTTTTTTGCCCTGGGTGAAAAAATAACAAAGCAAAAAAAATTAAACCCACTGGATTCTCTGAAGGGGTGCTCTTTACACTAACAGGGAACATGTAGAGCTGTTGAACTGCAAAATTTTGGAAGTGAAATCAAAATGATCAATTTGCCACCACTGACTTTGTTTCTATTGAACACTAAACTCACTGGATGTCTTGAGTTTTTTGCATAAAAACCACAAATTTCCACCTTTAAAACAGACGAGCAATGAGACAATGGAGAGTTAAAATTGGGAATGTAACATACCAATTAAAATGTCAAAAAGATGACATTTTTATCAACAAAAAGTGAAATTTTTCACTATGGTTGGCTCGAATGCTACCAATAAAGTTACAGAAGGGATCAAATTGAGAAAAAAAGAGAAACTCATCTCCAGAAACCTAGATCTGTAGGAAAATTGGCTAAAAATGGGAAAATTTTTGAGAAAGGGAAGAACCTTGAGCATGAACAGCAGCTACAACAGAGTCCTCTCTCGTGCCGCAATTGCCCATTTTCTTTCTCCTCTCTCTCATTCTAATCCTTGAGTGGAGAGCTAGGGATCGGCGAGGAGGCTGGGGAGGAGGCCGAGGTGGAGGGGGCGGTCCCAAAAGGAGATGAGGGCGGTGTGGAGCTCACGGAGGGGCACATAGCAAAGGAAGACCCACTAGATGCCAAATAATTGTGATGGCATATCACCAGCTCCATGGGTTAAGAGAAAGAGTTCATGGGTGAGAGACATGGGCATTTTAGGTAGATTGGTCAAAATACACCCAGTACATATATACAAATGGGCTTTTGGGACTAGACCATACTTTTCATACTTTTTTGGGGCTAAATGCTAAGGGAAATAATTGGTGAGGCTAAGTCACATATGGATCTTTTTTTTAGGGCCTTGAAACATTTTTCCCAAAAGAAAAAAGAAAAACAAAAACGTGTAGTGCATGGGGACTAAAATACCAAAAATGGTGTCGTCAGAGTAAATGGGGTCCTCCTGCTGCCTTTTGTTCGGCGTTGGGTTGGGATACAATTTCGGCTCTTATTCGGCTTGTTGATATTTGCTAATTAATCTTAGTGTCTATGCTAATTTACACCTAAATCTATGTCATTATTGGTCTCTGTCATCACCAGCATAATCCTCTTGTCAAGATAATGAAGCCACATCGATGTTAGTTGGAGGATTAGAGTTTTGCTGAAAAAGTATTAAAAGTCACAATTTGGATGTAAAACTTTTGGCTTATATATTTTCTCTCCGTCTTATGAATGGACAGTGCACTTTGATGTATTTTAATTTTTACAATTTGTACGTGCAGCATTTGTGTCCTATCCGAGTCAAAATCTTGTCCGCAATCGAGCAACAGTAACGAGGGTCGATTCGCAATTAACCCAAAATAAAACTAATAGAGATATTCAGTTCCAGAAGAGCGATGCCGTGAAAGGTCTATCCGCAATCCGCAATTATAATTCTTTTAGTAATATTGAGTTGCAGCTAAAGCAGAGAAAATTCAACTGAGATTATTCTATTCGAGTCAAGGCTTACGATCGAGGTTCTAGTAAGTGAAAGGAACTGTGTAGATCCTTGAGTACGTCGCAAAGGTCGAGTTATTTTATTTTAGTAGTCATCTTCGAAGGATGCAANGAGAATTTCCGTTATTTTTTTTTTCATTCCATATCACTAATCTAGCACTACTTTGTTGATCGCTATTTCAAAATCGAGCAAAAAATTATCTCAAAATATTTAAATATCACATATAAATGTCCTATAGTAACAAAAAAATCTAGAAACCATTAGTTTTTTTTCTCTACATATCCAATAATATCTTATAACTGAGGGTACTAAAGTAAAACTTTTAGAAATTTTAAGGTATTTAAGTGAAACAATTTATAAAATGAGGGTAATTTATATGCAACAAGAGGTAAAATAAGAGGGCACCAATGTGCAGCATACTTTCTTTTGGCTATTTTAGATAAGCCCCTGAAACTTTAGAAATGTCTCTTAACCCCAAACATTTGGGCGTGTAACAAAATCCTTGAAACATTATGCAATTATTGAACAAACCATTCTACTAGTATAATGGGTTTTTTCTGAAACTATATCAAATGTTCATAGGATCTTTCGAAAAGAATGTTGAATGTTTGGATTTGTTGAAAATAGTGTATAAAGTTAGGGAGGTATGCTGAAGAAATCTAGGGCTACACTGTTAGGTGCGTGTGTTTGAAAAAAATTCAAAGGTTTACCTAAAGTTGGGAAGGCAAATGACATTTTTAATGTTGATGGAGAATTATCTTACAATGAGCTAAAAGATAAGGAGTTATGTGAAATTTACAATAGAGTAGAGGAAAGCACAGAAAAAAATAACTAAATCTACGAACATTTTCCCACGCAAAAAAAATAAAATAAAAAATAAATAAAAATAAAAATAAAAAAAGGGGAAAAGAAAGAAAGAGAAGTATTAGTATTTTATTTTTATGAAAGAGGGCGAAGTCTTAACAGGACTAGATTTTGTAGGTGAAATAGGGCCCATGCACTAGATAATAAATGTGAAAAGGTGTTCATCATTACGGCCTTCGAAACTTGAGGCGAGGAATGTCTCGAATCTATCAGTTTACGCCTTTCCTCACAAGTAGGCTGTCAATAGGTTGGTCGATTCGATTTTTGACCAAATTTGATTAAATCAAAGTGAACCGCCTGTCATTCAAAATCGAAGCGAACTGATTCAAGTCGGTTCGGTTCGGTTCGATTCAAGTTGGTTTATTCGGTTTTTACTTAGATATAAATGTTATATCCAAATTCAATTTCACCTCTTATCTTTTAACGAAGAAATAAGTCTTTTACACTTCAATTTATTGAAATTCATAAACTATTAAATGCTACTGAATATTAGATGTAGAAATAAAAATCTAATTCCTACCAAAGATTACATAAATTTTTTAAAGAAAACTTACATAAAGAATTAAAGTGATATCAATCTGATAGACAAAGTAAATAAAAAATATGTAATAACTTGAATGTTGGGTATAGTTTCTATAAAATTATAAGCCTGATCCAAAGAGAAGTCTGGTCCAAAAATGTATCAATCGAGGAGAAAAATTAGAAAAATGTTAAAATAAACATTATGGTTTAAGTTTCATACCTCCAAAGTGGATTGGTCTAAAGTAAAAGAAGCAACTATGTAATAGAGAGGGATAGAGAACCAGAGATAATGAAATGCCCTAGAATTGGAGAGGACACCATTGTTGGGGTATTTTATCGCTATTAGGTCACGTGAGAGAAAAAGATATCAAGCTGCAGCGAAGTAACTCTATATGAACTATAATGAGTTGGGTTTAAGCGGATACAAATAGTAATTAGAATGAGTAATACAATTCGGTCAGTTCGGGTTGAAAAAACTTCAACCCGAACCAAACCGAACTCTAATAAAAACCAAACCGAACTGTCAAATTTCGATCGGTTCGGTCAGTTTGTTCGGTTTAAACCGAACTAGGCTCAACCCTACTCAGAAAGGGTTAATTTCACATAACCCCCCGTGATCTTTGGGGGGTTTCTTACGTAACTCCTTTGAATTTTATTTATTTCACAAAACTCCCCTAAAATTTGAAATTTCTCACCGGGCTGCCTTACATGTAATTTACAAACAAATAAAATTTTCTTAGGATATTTTTTTTTAATTTAGGGGTGGAGGTATTTTGCTTGTAGATAACAAATGATGAAATTGATATTTGTTTTTCTAAAAAAAATATTAATTTTTTGCAACTTACTAGCAGGGTTTTTTTTTGAGAAAATGTTAAAGTTTAGGGGAATTTTGTGAGACACCTTAAAGTTTTTTTTTTGCTGGGTGTGTGTGTAACAACCCCCAAAGTGTAGGAGGGCTATGTGAAAATTAACCCCAAATTTAGGTGTTTGTAAAGGGTTGGTTCCCATATTTGTACCTCTTAAATCATATATTTAAAAACTATATTCAGATAGTAGTTATATTCAAACCATCTGATAATGCTTATATTGAAGTGTACAACTCACAAATAGTGAATATCTAAAGCTAAAAAAAATTATCCAAGAATCATATTTAAAGAACGTTTTCTAATTAAGATATATATAAAACGCAACAAGTATTGACAATGCTACCTAATTAGCTAGTTGTTTAGTACATTAATAAATAATTGGGTTAGATCTTAGGTCAAATTTGGAGCATTGTCGATTGGGTAAGTAAGGTTATCCTAGTCAAGACTCGGAGGGGCTTTTGATGAATCTAATATAAGCGGTCTATGTTCTAGAATGTCACTAATGACATGGTATTCAAGTTCAATTTACTAGCCCTTTTAGAATAATGGAAATTTTAGTATTTTGTTGACTACAAAAGATCCCCTTTGTTATATAGAATTTTGGTTCTAATTCCTAGATTGGAATTTAGGTGAGACATATACAAATTTCAAGTCAATGAGAAAAATGAAAAGGAATGTATTCATCATTGCTTATGGTATTAATTAAAACGTCATTCTAAACTTTAGAAATTTCTTGACAAGCATTCTGATCTTTAGAATGTTTGGACCTTGCATGCAAGCCTGACCTTTAGGGTAAAAAAGGAAAAAGCCATCTTTACCAGCTGGGTTGAAAAGGATTGCTACTATTTTTCACTAAAAACACAGAATATACAGCGTAATAAAAAAATAAAAGCAACCAACGATAAATAACCATAAATAACAACTAACCAAGAACACACAATATTTTATAGTGGTTCATATAATAATCTTATATCCATATTCCTTCTCATAAAGGGGTTTTCTCACTATGTTCAAAATTCTCCTGAATCACAAATCTGATTCAGTAGGCTTACAAGACCGCACCTGGGGTCTACCGAAAACTAATCATCTAACCTAACTCTCCATAATGAGTAACACTTAACCCTACCTAGTTCCAATTCTCAATCCCAATTGGCTTGAGTATGCCGTAAAAATAAGATTAAAACAAAACTAAACAATCACAATTAAGCATAGAAAATGTGAAAGATTTTACAACCCTTTTGATCAACAAACCATCCTTCTATGAATCTAAGCATAGCACGATGAAGAACGATATAGATAATTAATCTAATGGCAATTCTCCTCGTTGAAACAAGCCAGAGATATTGTACGAGACGCGAGAGAGAGTTTTTCGAGGCTACATGGATCAAAACCTTCAATATAATCTCTTCTCAAATCAAAACCACAAAACTCTCTTCTCTCTTATTTTCAATGATATTATATATTATATATCTATATATATATAATTTATTATATATATATATATATATATTATATATTATGTATATTATACGGGAGAGGTTACTATATAAAGAAACCTGCATTAGCCTAAAAACTAAAACTCCTTCATCCTTGATCTAAGATGAAATCAATAGGTCGGGGATTAAGTCAAAGCAGTCATAGACACATGGCATTATATTAGCTATTAATTACTTCAAGCGCATGTGAATCAGATTCAGCTCTAACGTATCTGGCGAATCCCCTGGCAGTATCCCAT